ATTCAATAATTCATGGAATAATGTAGGTAAAGTGGCAAAATTTGGCACACATAGCTTAAAATGATATGGGGTTTTATTGAAAGAAAAAAAATGGAAAAAAATTTAAATAATAATAAAAAAAATCTGAAATGTTTCAGATTTTAAATTACGTCCAAAGGGGCGTTTTTTAACATTTTGTGTGTTACCTTTCTTTATTAAATATCATGTTCCTCGCACTTAAACCATAAGATCCAGTGCAACAGCAATATCGCAAAATAGTTTTAAAACGAGCATATCTTTAGAATTTCCGATACAGAGACTCACGCGCTGGAGATAAAAATGTTTTTTCTGCACAACGTTGCCATTGCTCGCTTTGAAATCCTTGAGTTTGTTAATCAAAAATTCGTCAAAGTTTTAAAAAATAGGAAATCGATCATAAAACAAATTTCAAATTTCAAATTTGGTCTTCCACATGCTCATATTCGTTGGAGGATTACGTTATTCAAAATTCGATGACTCTATGTACCGTTATTTTATGACAATGTGAGAAATATACATACATTTACGCAGATTTTCATTATTTAATTTCTTCAAATATAATGCAGGACTCTAACATTTTATGGCAACAGTTTTGAAAAGTGAACCGACATTTATCCGTCCGACGCAAAATGCCAAAACGAAACTAATAGTCCTTCGGGATTCAAATCCCTTTGGACTAAAAAAAAAAAAAAAACTCTGAAATGTTTCAGATTTTAAATTACGTCCAAAGGGGCGTTTTTTAACATTTTGTGTGTTACCTTTCTTTATTAAATATCATGTTCCTCGCACTTAAACCATAAGATCCAGTGCAACAGCAATATCGCAAAATAGTTTTAAAACGAGCATATCTTTAGAATTTCCGATACAGAGACTCACGCGCTGGAGATAAAAATGTTTTTTCTGCACAACGTTGCCATTGCTCGCTTTGAAATCCTTGAGTTTGTTAATCAAAAATTCGTCAAAGTTTTAAAAATAGGAAATCGATCATAAAACAAATTTCAAATTTCAAATTTGGTCTTCCACATGCTCATATTCGTTGGAGGATTACGTTATTCAAAATTCGATGACTCTATGTACCGTTGTTTTATCACAATGCGAGAAATATACATACATTTATGCAGATTCTTCATTATTTAATTTCTTCAAATATAATGCAGGACTCTAACATTTGGTGGCAACAGTTTGAAAAATGAAACGGACATTTATAGTGAACCAATGCAAAATCGCAATTTTCGGAACAAGTAAATTAAAAAATGTCAAAGAATAGCAAAAAATACGCATTTCCTAAGTAATCGATTAAATTTTATGGAAGGTTTTTAGAAATTGAGGTACTTTTCCGTTTTGCCGGCGCAGGCGATAAACGGAAAAGTACCGAACATGATAATTAATAAGTAAACGTAACACACAAAACGTTAATAATAAAAAGATAAAAAAAGTTTTGCGTAGCAGTTTTAGTAAGAAAACTGAACATTGATATGATGAATGAGAAAAGATTGAAAAAAAAGCAGAAAAATATATGCCAACACTAAACGCTACATCAGGAATTCTAAGCATATACTACTGTACTGCTTTTAAAATTTTTGTAATTTTGCTGTTGAATTGCATATGACGTAAGTGCGAAGAAAATGACTAATAATAAAGCTAAAAAGACAAAAAAATTGTTAGAAGGAGGGATTGTAACAGCAGACTGGTAGACCGTGGGATCAGAGAGAGCGTAAGAAACCTTAACAAACTCTTGTGAGAATGTTAAAATCTGAAACCTTTCAGAATTTTTCTTCTTAAAAAAAAAAAAAAAAAAAAATGATATAAAAAGCGCTTGAAAAATTTTTCGCACTTTAATTTTATAGTTATTGTTAAAGAATTTTTAATTAAATTACATGGGTGGTTATTCATAATCAAAGTAATATACTGTTTGTCAGGTATTTTCAACAATAATAAAAAGAAAGTTGATCGTCACAAAAATGTTACGTAAAATAATAATTCAATAATAAAAGTTAGTGAAAACAGCTTACGAAAATCCAGGTTGTTGGGGGAAAGTCGCGAAAGAAATGCCGGAAGGTTATGTGACTTTGAAAAAAAGGTGCGAAAGCATTTTTATTCTAATATCCGTCAGCCAGTCACGTGATCAGCTGAAATCAGTCTAAGGTGATAGCAAGTGCTTTTTGACTTATAATGCTGTAATAAATACACAGAAATGAAGTACGAAATTTTACGAGATCTCGCAGTGGAAGCTTTGAAGCGTTATTATCAACTCGACCACGTGCCATTACCGAAGATGAAAGTTCTACGTTGAAATAGCTGAGATTAATTTATAAACTCCTTTTTTTCTTTTTGACGACTCACGCCAAAATTGTGAGCAGTAAAACTTAAATTGCCTGTTTGGCATTTACTTATCTTTTTATATCTTTTTTATTATAGTCTTGTATACAAACAGAAGCTACAAATATTATGATTTATATGAACAAACACTAGATAGAGACATTAACTGTAGACTATTTAGATAAATTCCCAGATTGCAAAATGAATTTACAATTAAAGAATTTTTAATGGCATCAATTGTAAAGAAATTAATACAGAATTGTCATAAATTCTTGACTTGATACTTGCGGCGTAGTTAGAGTAATAAAAAACAAGAGATGCGTTTTATTAGTGATAGCGTTTAACTACTTGTTGTCTTCTTGTTATCTAATAGATTAACATAGTAAATCCACAATAACCATAATGCGGCGGAGGAAAATCTCCATCGGCCAAACGATAACGTAACAAGTACGGAACATCCCGCCCGGCGTTGATTTATTACATTATTTCAGACACAACTTACAACAAATACACTAATTAACAATTCAGTGAGAACAAAATAAATTATCTTACAGTAGGAATATCGTTATCCATAATGGGTAAAATACAAATTTTGGAAATTGGTCTTCTTTGGCGTGCGTATGTCTGCAACTTCGACATTTCCGTCAAGGCTTGAAAGCACAGTAATAATTCGAGCCAAAGCTCAATTGCAGATGGGAAGTTGAGAGTCTTTTAATATAATAAGCATATGAGGAGTAATATTTGTCGTTTTAAGCACCCGCTTAGAGCGCTGTTGCAGATGGCTACTTTGCAAACATTTTCAATGATTTGAAGTTTTGAGTCCCCTGCCACCTGCTTAGAAGATTATCTCTTTTGTTAATTAACTTTGGTTCTGGGATCGCATTTGGTGGTTTTCCTATTAGAAAATTAAACAGTTAAAAACCATCTGTATCAGACACTTAAAAGTTAGCACTTAAAAACCAGAGTTAACACTTAAAAACCATCTGTATCAGATAAGTGTGAGAATGACCGCGAAATGAGGATGTACGCGATTTGAACTATTGATTTTAGTCTTCTAGAGTTGAGTCCAGAGTTTAGTCTTCTAGTCTTAAGTCTTCTAGAGTTAGCCTAGCGGAGCTAGCAGAAAGTCTTCTAGAGTTAGCCTAACTCTCTTTAGATGTTACCTGAGGGCCTTCACACCCGCCTCCCAAAGGTCGCCAAAATTGGGTGCCCTAGGAGGCAAAAATCTCCAACTGATACCTTCTGAGGCTAACAGACTCGAGATGTTCTCACTGTTTGACTTTAATTAATACAAATGTTTTAACTCTGCAGAAGCTCCAGTAAAGTTCGCAGCGTCATCGCTAAAAATTATTGAACTCTTGCCGCATCGGGCAAAAAAAAGTCTCTTTAAGGTAGCAAACAGAGCTTCTGAAGTAAGCTCTGACACAAATTCCATGTGACTAGCTTTAGTCACCTAATTCTTATAAATCTGTTTAATGGACCTAAAAAAGGTTTAAAAATTTAAGCTTACGCGTAGGTGGAACTGAAGATCTTTTTTCTAAAGATGATATCTCTCGAAAATACTTTACCTGCAGATGTTTTATCAGATAATTTCCTGCTCTTTCATATTCTTCGCACTTAAGTCCCCCTGTATGGGTTTTAGGAGATTTGTACCTTTTGCAAAATCAAAAAATAAAAACTAAAATACTAATTAGTTTATGAATTTTTCCCCTCCAATGGCGGGCGTTTATGAAAATTGTTACTGTTGTTAAGTAAGATATATATAAAAAGAGTCATTGTTTAAACTTAATATCACTTTAGAAACAGTCTTGAGTTCATTAGCATAAAGTTTACCAGTTGAGTTACAGGGGTTTCGCAAAGTCTGAGGAACAGGTAAATTTATTTTTGAGAGGTCTGGTCCTTTCCTGCAAAGGGGTCCACCAGCGGCCGAGCGGTAAAGTCGCTGAACACTGGTAGTTCGGTCCGAGGTTCGAATCCCGCGAACGGGGTGGCTGCATGGGCGTTTTCGTGGTTTTCCCCATGTGTAACGTGTATACGAGCCAGTTTCCCTTAGAAAGTCGTCCACGAAGGCATCCCTCCCCTTTGGCAGATAGCCCTTGAGGCTTTGCCATAATCACACACCTGCAAATCACCTTTCCTGCAAAGTTCAGTAGCGGCAAGTGCTTTAACTTCTAGTTCTCTGAAGATAATGTCTGCAGGGTTCAACTCCGAATATGTTGCCATTCGAAATCCTTGAATATCTGCTGGATTTGTGATAGTTGGTTGCCTACAAATGTCTTAAACAAACTTGAAGGGGTTTTGATCCACGATAGGGCTATCGTAGAACCAGAGTGCAATCAGTGTTCATTCAAAATTTAACTAACATATGTTAGAATTTTCTTCGTTAGTTTTGCCAGAAGAAGGCATGCAGTAAGTTCTAGACTTAAAATTGTAATGAATTTTGTAAGGGAAACGCTCGATTTGCTGCAAAGAAGTGAACTGTTTACTTCACCGATGTTGGACACACATATTTAATATACACACATGACATAAAATATTTTAGTAATTTTGCTATTTAACTTATAATAATTTTACAATTACCAAATATTTTAAAATAATGTATCTGAAAATAGGTGGAGATAAGACAATACAGACAAAGAAAAAATGAAAACGTTTCGATGCAATTTTTTATAATAAAAACGTTCATTTTATTTTAAAAATTAAAGTTAGTGACCTGAAACTGCAATAGTAGATTACAGTACAATTGAAAGAAAGAGTCAGTTTCACTCACGTGTGTGTCGGATTTGCTCACTATTTAGGGGATCCCACAAAATTTTCGTAAATATTATGGACACCAAAAAAATTAAGAAATTCTGATTTAGGTTTTGTTCCAATCTAGTTTAAGAAACCATAACTATTTCATAAAGATCTTTGCTTTAACAACAACGGGAACCAAGAGTCCGAGTGTGTCACAAATGCGTGCTATTTGAAATAGTACATCACTTTTGGTGAAGTTAACATTAGCGCTTATACTTACTTTATATGTAAAGGAATCGCTTAAGCAATTACAAAACATTCCTAGCATTTTAACTGTTATTTTTTTCAGAAGTTCAATCAATCGCGAACTGTTGCAGTTCAATGGTTTGGTGCCTTGTTACTGCACCACTTATGCAAAGTCATTCATTCCCTTTGGAGAACCTGCTTCAATTCTGATTTAAGTTTTCCTAACACGTTGAATTCTGAAGACCCAGAAAGGCAATTTACCATGTAAAGATCTTGAAGGACTGTTCTTGAATCTAAAGAAAAGTCTTTTCTCTCATCTAAGGCAAGCTGTAAAACTTCAGTGGCTAAGCATGGGGCGGACGCAGTTCCATACGTTACAGTTCGTAACTGATAAATCTTAATGATTGCGAATTTGCTATCTTTTCATAAAATGTTTTAAGCTCAGTTTGCGAAGGATTAACTTCAATCATTCTGAACATCTGTGTGATGTCAGCAGTAAAGGCGAAAACGCGTTTTCTAAATTTAATTAGAATCGGGAAGAGGTCTTCTTGAAGCACTCCTCCTCTGCACAATAAATTATTTAAGGAATACCCGTTGGACGTTTCTGAACTCGCTTAGCTTAACTTACACTTTTAAACTATTGATAATTCTACAACTATGGCATGTAGATTAATTAAAGGCATATAAATCTTAATCGAAGCATAAGAACAACATAATTCAATCACTTTAAAGGAAAAAATACATAAATTACCAAAATACAGGATTAAAAAAACGTAGCAGTTGAAGGTTGCTTAAATTACAGTGAATTTCTAATTTGAGTTTATAAATAAATATAGAAGAATTTGAAAATAAAAAGAATGAAAATCATGAAATCAGATCAAATATTATAGATTTAAGCAGTTTACATATGAAATTTACATTTCACCAAAATTTCAGAAATATCACTATTTCTAATGTGGGCGGCATTGTTGTCTCTAAATTTAGATTTAAATACGTGTGTAGTCAAAATACTTCATAAATTGTTCAATTTGATAAAATTTGGCATTTATGCTGGTTGTCATATAAAATTCGTTGTAGGAGAAATGGCTGTAACTGATGAGGTTGAATTTCGCTTTATTAATAAGTCGGGTGGATCTTTCACTGGCATATGCGCCGAGAAATATTTGGTTGAACTGGACAGATCATCTTACTGATAACCTGGCTGGAGTCCAGGTAGATCTCTCGGCTTCTGGCTCTGGTTCGCAGCTCCTGTAAAATAATTTTTATAAATAAGAAGATTGTCTTATTTTTCACTTTTTAATTGAATTTGAATTGGAAAGCAACATGATATCAACCTTATGTTATTTTGCAAAGACAATAAAAGAATCGTAAATTTAGGATTCTCTCTACATGCATAGTAATTATTCACCCTACCGTAACTATGGTCATTTTGCCTTGTTCTCACACTATTTTTTCAGTCATCAGATGATTTGCAAGAGCCAAAATATACACATTCGCTTAATTTTGCGGTAGATTATAGGGTGCGGCAGAAAAAGTTAGATGATTTTTATATGCAAAATGTTTGTTGGTGAATCACGTATACTGCAGAAACGGTTACGTTTTTAGAAAGTACATACCAAAGCGAAATGTATCGTTTGCTATTTCTTGATATCAATGTTAATGAAGTGTCCACCATTGAGTTCCAAACACACTTCTGCACGTTGCCGCACAAAGCCTATCGTTCTTCTCCTTATGTCCGGTGAGGTTTGGTGGATTTTATGTCGGAATAGAGTCACGCAAGTCATCCGAGACTGCAGGTCGTTTATGTACACTTTTGGCTTTAAATATCCCCACAAAAAGAAATCGCACGTTGACAGATCTGGTAAGCGTGCTGGCCACGCAACATCGCCATTATGAGAAATAATTCTGGAAATATTTTTCGAACTATGGTCATGGTTGCACTGATTGTGTGCGATGTGGCTCCATCTCGTTGAAGCCAAACCTGTTTAAGACGGCATCTTCTGAGTTGAGGTTAGAAAATTTACCAGCACGGACATATACCGGGTAGAGGTAACATTCACAATGTGTTCACTTTCATTTTGAAGAAACGTATGGCACAATAATTGCATTCTAACATACAATTACACTACAAAGTTACTTTTGGACTATAAAGAGGCACCTAATGAGTCAAACTTAGGTTTCTAGTTAACTCAGTAACGACAATTAACACATCCATTGATGTGGCAGTGTGCATTCTCACGTGATTTATAAATGCAGTCATTTTGGATCCTCTTACATTACTCCTATCAACCTGAAACAGAACTGAAAACGTGCGTTATAATTTTGAAGAAGCAACAGGTGAACAAGCTGCAGTTTTTATGGATGGAAGTTTAAGTCCTGGTGTATTATCCTTCGCACACATCTGGCTGACATCCTAGTGATATGGTATGGTGATGCATAGAACGCCTGGTATTTTGTAGCATAGCTTCTCGCTCCTTCTTTACGTTTGCTTGTGTGCGCGCAGAACGTTCGCGACACAACGTTCTGTGCGTAAACAAGAAAAGACGCTCAACAGCAACTGTTGAAAAGACACTCAACAGCAACTGTTGAAAAGACGCTCAACAGCAAACGTGCGGTGTTCATGAGACCAGTGCTCTACGGCTAATGACAGCGAGAGCAAGTAATTTCACGTCACTGCACATGCGCGTTGTTCCAAAGACTATCTTTACATATCTACTAAAAAATTTGAACTTCTCAATAAAATAAAGCAGGAAACAACACGCTAGCTACAGAGACATATCTGTTCCGCCATGTTTAAATCGTCTTACTTTTTCTGCTGCACTTTTTCCATGCCTCTATTTCATGGGAGTCAGTTTACACTACAATAGCTCCATCGATGTCGATATACTTAATCTTTAATATTTGCGACTTGACATTTTCATTATACTGCATTATATAATTGAAAACTTAAATTATGATACGTCTTTTAATAAATAGTCAGATAATTTAATGATTTCACACATGTGTAGTTTGTTACACGTACATTTTATGGTGTAAAATAATTTAAAGCTTGGTTTTAAATTTAACAGATTAAAAAAATCTGAAATCTTTCAGATTTTATATTGAGCCCAAACTGACGTTTTATCCATTTACAGACACATACACGATTCGAGAGTATTTGAGCTAATGCCACATTGGACTAAAAGTATTTTAAAACAGCAAATTTTAGAATTTCAAAAATGTTTTATTCCCTACAGTGTCGCCACTGTTCGCTTTGAAATCGCTGAGTTTGTTAATAAAAAATTCATAAAAGTTTTACAAAATATGAAACAGACATTGAAACAAATTCCAAATTCGTGGCTTCATTTCCAAATTTAGCATTCAATTAGTTTATTATTTTTTTATTTTGAGTTAAAATCCATGTGGCCCGAGAAAAGAGCAATCTGTGATCTTAGTTTGAGATAATAAAGAGTGAATTAAACCCTTCTCTGGACGCTTTCATTTACACGCTTGGACTCAGCGATAACTCGCTACGTAGTTCATCTAGGTTTCTATGAAGTCAAGCATAGACAAAGTAGTTGGAGACATTACAAAGCATTAATTACAACTGCGGAATTTAACCATTAAAAAATTAACTTACGCAGAGCATGAAAAAAACTTGAAATCTTTTTCGAAATTCTCCGCATCTGCCACAGTTTGTGGAAGATTCTTGTTTAATGTCTCCGGTAGGAAAGATGCACATACACCAGAAGCCATGCTTATCATTGCAAAAATCAGAAATGGTATGTATGTTCCATATTTAGCCTCAAAAGAAAAAGAGAACATGCATTGCATTATAAAATGACATATAATTAATATAATTAAATTAGAAACATAGGAAATTATTTAGAGCATGATAAAACGTATGCAATTTCTTTGATTCTGAGGCTTGACATAAGCGCCTAAAAATGTAATACATTTTCGAATCGCGAGTTTTTTCTTATGAATATTTCTTTGCGTCAGACATGGCAGCCATTACATTTCCATAACTGTCGATGTTTGTTATGGAATAGTGAAGATAAGAATTTATCACGCTCTAATATTGATTAATATAAAAGTAATCGAAAGCACGCGCACACACAAGCACTAAAGGTTCTTATATGGAATCATTCAGAAGGAAACAATAAACAGTATGCTTACTGATAAACCGGGACGCTGCACGTAAATCAAGATTAAATATTTGCTAAACGCATTTTAGACTTTTATTTCATTCACTGATTTTCTTAGAATAAAAGTTTCTTTTCCTGCTGGGAGTATAAATTATGGCATGGGTCCTAAAATTCAATAACATTTTAGAGTCAAAGGAACATGGTATATTATGATTGATTATTACATATGTTATTTTGTCATCGTCTGTTATTTGTTATTCAGATGCTTTTGATGGAATAATTAAGGGCAATTATACCGGACTACATTCAGCTGTGTGTCTGGTAGTATACAGCATACAATTTCCCTCAAAGTCCTTTCGAGTACGAATTTTTTTAAGATCATTTGCATTACTTTTTCTGCCACATCTCTTAATTCTGATAAACTTTTGAATTAATAAAATATTTTCTCGTGGGATAAGTTTCGCTAAGTGACAACAAAGAAATAAATTAAATACCTTTATAGGGAAATCAGGTAGTTATAAACATAAGTCATTATACTGCTTTGTTTGCATAACTTTCTCATATATGAAATATATAAGTTACACAATGTACACTGCGAAAAAAAAGGGGGGCGGACAGTTCTATATCTCTCGTTATACTAGACCGATTGACGAAATTCAAATTGCATTTTCCATATCTCGAAAGCGCGACTTAAGGGATATATTAGATTTATATATAGCTTTGTTCTAATAGGTATTTTGACACAAAATTGGACGTTTTCTGAAATAACATACCAATTTCTTTCCATATTTCGATTCTACGACTCAAGTTATGTCTAGATATTAAATTTTGCAAAATTTGATGCGAAATTTACGGAGAAATTCAAAAATTTATCTTGGCGCAATTTTTTCAGTTTGCGCCAAGAATAGTTCACTTGGCGAACTTCTTAATATATTGCAACCAATTTTTCCTTTCCCTTCCATTACGCCGGAACGGAAAAAAGGCACCTCCTTCCTACCTTTCTACATTATGCATAAGGGGAAAAAAAAAAAAAAATGTTCCTACTTTTTAAATAATTTTAGCAAAGTGTTAAAACACATTTGATTTTTTATCGCTTTCAATAAATATGCCAAATTTCAAAACGCGCCATTATACACTGACTACCAATAAGTATTTGGACATCTATGCAGTGACGATATCTGCGGTCCTAAGATACGTCACGGACTCCGCCGGTATATATCGTGCAGGAAACAACATCGGCTTTAGTCGCATGCAAGATGCCTCGCAGTTCGGAGCTCTCTGATTTCGAGACGGGTATAATTATCGGTATAATTATCGGTATGTATCACAAATGTGGCCGATCCTTAAGAGACATATCTAGCTATCTGAAGTACTCAAAATCGACAGTGGCCTATGTGATTAAGAAGTGGAAGGTGAGCGGTGATTGTCGAATGTGCCCCGAGTCGGCGACCAACGAAACTGGGAGATAGAGACCGACGAGTGCTGTCCAAGAAATTCGGAAGAACCGCACTCAACGATGGCCCTCATCCGCGAGGAGTTTCAACAGGCATCCGGAAGTATTGTTTCAATGAATACCATCCGTAAGGAAGCACATTTGCTTGGTTTTCATGATCGTGCTGTTGCCCATAAGCCTTTGATCACAAAGTCCAACCGCTCTGCTCGGTTAATGTGGTGTAAAGCACATCGAAATTGGACCGTAGATCAGTGGAAACGGGTTCTTTGGAGTGACGAATCAAGGTTCACCCTTCACCGTTCGGATGGCAGGGTCTGGGTCTGGCGTCTACCTGGAGAACGTCTCCTTCCAGAATGCATTGTGCCAACAGTCAAGTTCAGCGGAGGTGGAATTATGGTCTGGGGGTGTGTCTCCTGGTATGGGCTGGGACCCTTGGTCCCCATTCATGGTAAGCTCAACTCCGATGCCTACTGCACTATTTTGGATGACAATATGCTTCCTACGTTGTGGCAGTTTTACGGGTTGGACCCCTGTTACTTTCAGGACGACAATGCCAATTGTCATGTTTCGACGTTAACCAAGGCTTGGTATGGTGCCAATGAAGTTCATCAAATGGACTAGCCTGCCCAGAGTCCAGACCTGAACACTATCGAGAACCTCTGGGACGAGTTGCATCGCCGAATTCAGGGGTGCACCATCCGTGCAAAATCGGTGAAGGAACTTCTATGTCTTCTCCAAGCCTAGTGGAAGAAAATACCACTAGCTGTCATACAAAGACTTGTGGAAAGTATGCCCTGGAGGGTCCACGCTGTAATTACCTCTCGTGAAGGCTCTACCAACTATTGATTTTGAATAAAGTTAGTTTTTCTTTTCTATCACAGGTGTCCAAATACTTCTTGGTAGTCAGTGTATAAATTCACGTATATCTTCGAAAATATTGAATACAAAACTGTAATTTTACGTCTACTTTAAGATGATGATAGAAATTTTATAGATTCTAATTCAAAATGTTTTTTCAAAAATTTATTTAAAAATAAAAAATTTAAAAATAAACAGTAAAAATATCGTTGAATTTCATTTGGAATGAACTTGAATTTCGAAATGTGAAAGGAAGAATCAAATAAGTTTAATAAAAAAAAGAGAAATTAATAAATATATAATAAATTAACAACGAGGAGCTAAAATTTTTTAGAGCTGATTTTTTTAAAAATTACTCGGGCGATTTTTACAAAACTTGGGAGTTTGGCGTCGTTTGAATCGTAGAACGGAAACATTGTGTGCTGGTCTGTGTGATTATGGCAAAACCTCGAGGGCTATCTGCCTAAGGGGAGGGATGCCTTCGTGGAGGACTTTCTAAGAGGAACTGGCTCGTATATACGTTACACATGGAAAAAACCACGAAAACGCCCATGCAGCCAGACCATTCCCGGGATTCGAACCTCGGACCGAACTACCAGTGTTCAGCGGCTTTACCGCTCGGCCGCTGGTGGGCCATGGAAACATGGAAAATATGGGTATGTTATTTCAGAAGAAGTCTGATTTTGTGTCAAAATACCTGTATTAGAACAATGCTATATATAAATCTAATGCATATCCTAAGTCGCGGTTTCGAGACATGAAAAACGCAAGTTGAATTTCGTCAATCGGTCTAGCTGCTAGACTCTAGCAGAACGGGAGATATCGAACTGTCGAACCCCTTTTTTCATTTTCGCGTAGTGTACCTTTTAACAATTTGTGAAGGTAATGCATGAAAATGGATCATTTTAGATCAACTATGCATCATTAAGCAAAAAAAAAGTATAGTTCTAGAGTTCTTACCAGGTAGACTATGTAGGGCACAATAAGTGCTGAACCGACGCCGATAGTGCAGCTCATACCCATACCAACCGCTCTAAGTGGTGTGGGAAACAACTCGGGGCCTTGTTGATACAGAGCCAGGAAAGCGCCACTGGTGCTAGCTTTGGCAATTAAAGAAGCAACAACTCCAACAATTTCATATTCTGTGGAAGATAAAAAGGATTTGTTTTTTCAAGGTAAATAGTTATTTCATTTATATGTTGAACTTGGACCTATAGGAGGTCTTTTTCTATGGCTTTTCTATTAATACTTATAAAAAGTAGAGTCCTTCTAATTGATATACATTTTTACAGCATTTTATGAAAGGTTAAAAAACGTGAAATAGGCTATTTTTTGACATCTCTTTAAATACCGTGGCCGTGATGAATTTTTGAGCTCCTCATTCGAAGATAACCAACCCCTTCTGCGCCCAGAATTAAGAATGGCCAATGTTCACCAGAAACCATGTTTCACCTGTTTGGAGGATACTTAAAGTGTCGCTCCATCGCATTCAATTTAATACCCTTAGCTCGTTCTTACAGTTCTTGCTTGTTGCAGTACTTACCTTATTCTTACAGCTGATTAATACCTTAACCAACTGATGTTTAACAATGACAACATTTATAAAATTAATTGCTGAGTTCGAATGTAACAGCTATGGTAAACTATATGGTATATAAGGCGATGGTAGGAACATCCTGTTGTATTTATGAAGTAATGATACAGACATTTTGCGCTTATGCTGCTAATTGATAACATTTGCAAGTGCACAGAAACTTATTTAGATAAAAAAATTGCATATGGACAGGGTTTTATCTAGGCTTAGAAGATACTAAAATGTTGAACTTTAATTTGAACCTTTTATGAATTATATTTTAGCTTTGGAAGCCTAAACACTTCCAAAACTAAAATAAAATAAATATGCGGTAAAAAAATAAAATATGAAATTTAGGATCAAATACTTCTTTATTGACTAATTACCTGAAATGAAAACAACTGGAAGGAGACAAGCCAAAGACGACAGTGCAAACGCACATACGGAGCAGCATCTTCTGCCAATACGTTCCATGAAAAGCCACGTGCAAATATGTGCAGGTACTTCTATTAAGGATACGAGGAAGAAATTCAAGAACTCGTTGCCCGCCAGATTTTTCACATTTATCTGGAGACCATAATAAGGTATAGAGTCGCCCATCCTGTGCGAAGAAAATGGAGAATATTACAGTTGTAAATGGCAAAATAAAGTACACCGTTAGAAAATACTGGCATTTAGATGTTTTAATGTTTAGAACATAATTATTATTGTTTCAAACAATTAGTACTCTTAGTTAGTTTTTTCCAGTTGATGACACAATGTAACCTTTTGACAGACTTAAAAATAAGCAGTTTATTTAGGTCAAATACGGCTAAATTCTTTGTGTGTGAGTGTAATTAATATGCCATATTAAAGTGTGATTCTTCTGTGTTTCTTCATAACTTGAAATGTAACTAGAACTGAAAGCAAGTTTTGAATCATAATTTAAATTGCAATCGTTCTACGAAGAATTTGTCTAAGAATAAACCCAAAAATATAAAAAATCTGTAAAATATCGAAAAGAATACATTATTATGAAACAATCCGATTCTTATAAAAGCCAAAGAACCAGACAGTTTCGGCACTCTTTCCCTCGAAATAAATTTTAAAATATTAGATTATTATTTCAAGCAATTAACACATTTAGTTGGATTTTCCGAATTGTTTCACATGTCACAGTGATACCATCTAAAAAAACCCACGCAGTTCCAAATAATTTCAGTCTTCTGTGAAAGCGATCGCCTTAGAGAATATGATTATCAGTGATATTTCACAATAACGTCTTTTTATGTGCTCAGAAATACTCTTTACCTTTAGAGGCACTCACTTTGGCATATTTAGAAATAACTGCTTGAGATGATTGTTAGATTGCTACTCAATTAATTCAAGCTGCAAATCTGACCTCACTGCTTCACAATTTATGGTAAAAATAACCAATTCTGTTTGAATGGTACTGAAATCTTGAAATCTGCGTTCGAACTCAAAATGCAGTTTTTTCAAGCCATCTTCATAATTCTTAAGCTTCTCTTAAGCTTGAATTTAACCTCGGGAAATGAGATAAGTTGTTCTTAGCTATAGGTGCCCAGCAAACAGATTAAGTTTTAGTTTAAAAGCTTCGAGATGAACCCATATTTCGTCGATAACTTGATTTTCCCCATGCATCTTGACATTCAAGTTGATCATATGACAAATAAATCTGTGAAAAATGCAAAGTCTGAAAGAAATTCTGTATCTTCTAACATTTCGCACTCCACAGAACACTCTTTATCATGGAACGACACAGTGTTGTCTTTCAGCTGCCAAACTGGCTCGAAAACACATCTTGCACTAAGCCACCTTACTTTCGTGTAAATACAGTACATCAGAGTATTCAGATTGAGCGGAGTGAAGAAAATCTCGAAATTGCCTGTGAGTAAGCCACGAGATGGAATAGTATTTACAAACTTCACTACTGCATCAAGCACGGTTTTCATATTTAATGCAGATTTACACAGAACATTTTGATGAATAACGCAATGTAGAATAACATTGTTCTCGGGATAGTTTTGATTAGAGTCTAAGAAATCCAGATTTTTTTTCTTATCATATTTAGTGCCCCATTGGTCATATTACATATATTTGTTATAGGCACTTTCAAAGTTAAAAGCCCTTCCTGAAATTCGTGAAAGTAGTTCCCTTTAAATAACGCATGCACACCAGTACCTCGGTAATTTCAAAGTTCTCATCAACACCTCTTATAAATATCATGAAGCAAAATTTAAACTGGCCAACCTGTGACTGTAATTGTGATGTCAAACTTTTATCGATGTCTTCGATTCTAGAAGTCACTGTTTTCCGAGATAAGCTAACAGTCTCAAAATTATTTTTCTTGTCTGGACTAAAACATCACAAACTTGGAGCATGCATTCTTTAACGAACTCCCCATCATGAGAGCTTTATTATTTTTAGCAATATTGTATGCTACAGTGTAACTTGTATGTGTAGCTTCTTGAAAAAAATTTGACGGCCTGATAATTCACGAATAACCCAAAGAAGCACTAACTACGCTATAATTTTAATAATTTCACCACTATTCACAATGATGCTCTATGTCCGCAATCTTTCCATATGCAATCAATAATATTATTAGAACTCGCGCCAAAAGAAGAAGCCGCTGGCTGGAGCTTAAAATGCGTGACATGGTGAGGTCTAATTCACCTATATTGGATTCCTATATGTCTATTCCAACGCTTGTTGGCGTCAATGTACAGTTATAACTAACAAAGAACTTCCGCTTTTACCGATTGGAAGCTGTCTATGCTTGTTATTTCCGTCGATTCATGTTTTGTAGAACAAAAATAGAGAAAGTAAAAAGATCATCAGTCATTTGAAAAAAGGGAAGAAAAAAATAATATTCAAACAAAGTAGAAAAGGAGATGGATATATAATATATAAATATATATTTCTTTTAATTTGTTTTGTACCGGCAAATTAAAATTCTATCCGCAGGTCGGATAGAACTTTCCGGCGGGCCGGAGTCGGCCCTCGGGCCGTAGTTTGCCCATCTCTGAGTTATCCGGTAACTATCGCATGAGCAGTTCCAACAATCAGTATGCAACATTAGTGATTTTCTATATGGTTACATATCGTCTATTTCAAATGAGTTCATTAACTTTTTTGATCTAATGTCACCTGTGATGCACTTAGGTGCATCATATCAGTTATTGCCAACCATCTTAAAAACATGGATATCATAATAGCATACACGCCTACTGCTTTTAAAATTTCATTTATTTAACCACACAATAAATGACAATTTTCTTCATAAAACACCAGCTCTTAAGCAATCCGATCACACATGAAAATCTGCATGTTGCTATCTCTCGAGTTTTGACAATTCAGTGTGTCGCATAAAATATTAAAGATGAGAGAATAATGAAAATTACCCTTTCTGTCAATGCACAACATTACAATGACTTATCAATCCTCACAACTCAGGCATATTTATACCTTTGTTTGAGACCGCCATGGGAAGACTTAAAAGCCTTTTTTTTTATTTATGGACACTTAATTTCTCGAGTTTAAAAATTTTTTGGACCTTGAAATAAATGGCGAATAGTTGAAACAATAAACACTGAACCAACGGATGCTGAAATAAAATAGTGCATGATATATCGCGTTAAACCGCATCTTAAAAGTGAAAATATTCTGCAAAAGATCTCACCAGCACAAGGTAACCAAAATGAATCTTTTTCGAAGAGTCGGGTACCTAAAAAAATCCAGTGGCGAATGCTTGTCCTCTCCAAGTTTTTGCTTTTGGATCTTCTCCCCAAATTCCTAGATAAATAATATAAATTAGAAAAGATTTTTTTAAATATATATCTATTGCATTTATCGACAACGAAGCTCCTGTTTTGTTACTGCAAGAAATCTTTAAAGAAATTTCTAATTTTTACATAAGATTAACAAAAGATGTGTATATTGTTGACAAGCAGTTTTAAGTCAGCTTCCTTCGAAAGATTTTTTTAACATTTCATAATGTGAAAAATACGGTTTGCATCTTAATTAATTTATTTATTTATCACCACTGAGCAGGCTTCTGATCTAAGGTGTATCTTAAGGTGTCTTAAGTAATTATTCCCTGATAGTCGTGCATGATAATTAGTAATAAATATACTACTTTGATAATTTGGACAACTAGATGATCCTTTAAATACCTTCGCATCGCAGCTGGATAAGAGTTATTTAGATTTGGATACTAAGATTTTTCGTTAGATTGTTTGCATTTTCTAGCGTAAGGGTGGTCAAAAGAGCCTAATAAAACGAATTTATCACTGTAATTGCTTTTCCATTTATAATTTAAAGAGACTGCTATATTATAAAAGTTTACCTTTTAGAACCCTGTGGTAGAATTCTTCTTATTTTGAAACAATTTCACTATATAATGTTTCTAAATCTGGAAGAAAAGCCATTTATTGTAAGAAAATTTTAGAAAATTAACAAGTTGTGATAAATTGAGGTAAATTTACAGTAAAGTTTCAGGCACTGGATCTTAGGTTTTTGAGGTATTTTTTGAGGTACGATTTTGAGGTAACTTTTTAAGATTTTAAAATTTATTCCTTTTTTCTTAAGATGACCCCACATTTCTATCTTCCCTGAATCTTTTTATTTAAAAGCAAGCTTCGAATCAACTAAATAAAAATAAGTTATTTTATAGGAACTTATTTTTATTCCAGAAATAACCGTAAATAAACCCAGTTATTCAGCTCTTGTGCAGATGAAGTATGGATCAACATCATAAATACCTGAAACCATGCGTCTCAGTCAGTGGCAAATTTTATACCCCCACCTAAAAATATTAGTAACATGTTACATTTCGTTTTTAAACATCCTTGCTTAGTCTTCCACATGCTGCTTCAGTGCGTCCTTACGCGTTAGCTCTGCTGTTTTACAATAGACTAAGTCATTATTTGCGTCGCCATCGACACTCAGTTAGAAGACTGTGGAGCGTTTGTTATTGCGAAATAACAGCAGTAAGAGCTCTAGTTCCAACTAAAAGAAACTACATAAGAATTACTTTAAAGTCGAAAGCATGGTGTTTCCTAGGCTAGTTTAGTTTACTCTGCAATACCTTAGCCTACACTAGCTTGAATTAACTTCATTACGTTAGCCTACACTAGCTTGAATTAACTTCATTACGTTAGCCTACACTAGCTTGAATTAACTTCATTACGTTAGCCTACACTAGCTTGAAAGGGGACTCATACACCTTAAAACCCATAAGATGTTCGAATAGGTGACTGTTGCAAGAATTGAGATAACTTATTTATTTTAAAAGTAATTACTGCCAACTTTTAACAGCTGATTACATAATATAGCTGCTCTCTGAAATAGTAATCAGAAAGTTTGTGTTGCCACAAATATTTTTATAATTTAATCCGCTTTGTGACAACATTTTTCGTCATCTTTCCAACTTGCGCACACAGTTTAAAACATTCCGTTTCATAATTTAATTCCATATTTAATATATAGCTTTTATAATATTTGGAAACTACTGTGAACCTAAAATTCTAAAAGTTTCATGTTAAATTTTTATTTTATTTGGTATTGAATTTATAAAATGTATTTTATTAAAAAAATTTGTAAATTTTTCGTCCATAAAATTTTTCAGTATTACAATATTCATTAGATTGTTGGTTTGGTTCAGTTAGAAAATAGTGCCCACATAAAGAATTCCATAAAATTTCAAATATGTACCATTAGCCATTTTTAAAATATCATGCGCACAAGGTGGAAACATGGCAAAATATTTTGTCACAAAGAGGATTAAATTACAAAACTATTTGTGGCAACGCAAACTTTCTGGTTACTAGTTTCCAAAGCAGCTATGTTATGTAGTCAGCTGTAAAAGGTTGGAAGTAATTGCTTTTAAAATAAATAAAATATCCAATTCTTGCAACAGTCACATATTCGAAGATCATGAGGGGTTTAAGGTGTACGAGTCCCCTTAACTTCATTACGTTAGTTCTAACGATAAATTTTAATGTTGGCAAACTGTAGACCTAATACGATGAAACTTCGGCTATTTAAAAAATGAATTAATGCTGAGGTTTCTTTCAATTCAGATGGATAATTTATAACATGAACGGGTACAGGATAAGTGGGCAGGACCCTAGAATTTAACCGCTGTTAGTATACAGGAGTAGGTGCCTGTGCACTAAGTGTGCACTTCCATCCCAGTTTTGATGAACAAGATCCCGAAGCACGGTCTGAGGGTGTGTTACTTCTTTTCCCTTACCACCAAACCTCCTGAGAGAACTTTCGGCTCACTGATATATTGTAAGTGTCTCTTGCCTCAAAGACGCTAAAAAACATTCACGCCTTCTCTGGAATTCGAATTCAGGCCTATTGGCATGGCAGCCAGCGATGCCAACCACTACACCAAGATGATGGATACTTTGTAATACAGCATTCTTTTAATATTTCTTTATAAATTCCAAAGTTAGCAATCATAATTTCTTTTTAAAATATATGTATAATTTCTTGTAAGTAATTTGGCGCTCTTCTAATTTCTTCCCTGAGGCAATTGTTTCACCTGCCTCAGCCTTGTCTCGACTCAGTAGAAAGTATTAACTTACTGGTAAAAAAAGTCTCCCACTTCATGAAAAGTTTCGGCAGAAACAGCAAGGCAACTGTTTCACCTGCCTCAGCCTTGTCCCGTCTCAGTAGAAAGTATTAACTTACTAGTAAAAAAACTCTTCCACTTCATGAAAAGCTTCGGCAGTAACAGTAAGGCAATTGTTTCAGCTGCCTCAGCCTTGTCCCGGCTCAGTAGAAGTATAACTTACTAGAAAAAAACTATGAAAAGCTTCGCAGGAACAAAGGCAATTGTTTCGCCTCACCTTGCCTCAAAAAACAGCAAGGCAATTGTTTCACCTGCCTCAGCCTTGTCCCGGCTCAGTAGAAAGTATTAACTTACTGGTAAAAAAACTCTCCCATTTCAAGAAAAGCTTCGGCAGTAAACAGCAATAAATTAATTGCAATTGATGGTGAAAATTCAGATTCTATTCCTCTGCACAATATATATTCCCACGCACAATATATCTAAAATTTATTATCATTAATAGGTATTAGAATTTTATAAATGTAATCTTCAAGACTAAAGAAAAGGAAAAAAGTGAGAAGGTATTTCTAAATAAACAGGTACATTTCAGATTCCGGAAAAGATTATTCTAAAGCAGACCGCAACGATAAATATTCAAACTATTCTCGCCTTTTTGGCATGCCTGCGTGGTGTAGTGGTCTGCACGCTGAGAGCGTAATTGAAAGTTGAATTGAGTTTAATTCAATTCAATTTAATTGAATTGAATTAAATTTCAATTGAAAGTAATTGAAAGTCCGTGGTTCGATTCCCGGCGAAGGTGTTGCTAATTTTTCATCTTTCCTGTTTCCAAAAAAAGTACCTAATGTCTCCACAGTGGCGCCCGAACTAAAAGGGTGTTGGATGATGATTCTCCTCACCCAGAATTCGGCGATTGGGTCTCCTGAAAATCCCAGTCGCCCTTTAAAAGGAGGAGTATATAAGGTATTTCTCCCGCCTTCTTGGCATGCCTTCGTGGTGTGGTGGTCTGCCCGCTCAGCGCGTAATTGAGGTCTGGCGAAAGGTGTTGCATATTTTTCACCTTGCCTGCTTTCAAAAAATAGCTAATGTCTCTACAAGTATTCGAAAACATACTTTTCTCATTGACTGTTACGAAACCTGATTGAAGTCTCAAATCGGCTACTGAAAAGTTTAATTATATTAAATGTAGTTTTCATGGTATGATGATGTTCCTGTTTACTAATTAGGCTATTAAAATGTTTTTCTAGTGTAAAGAATTTAACTTTTGCGTACTTTTAGTGAAAATTTAAAAAATAATCATAAAAGTTTGATCTTGAAAATTTGCTTTATTTAAATTATTTCATAAATTTTAACCAGGGTTGACTTAATGGTATTTATTTCTGACATCATTCTGAAATATCCTGCTTAAAATTTTCCGCAAGCAATAATATATTTATGTATTAAACAAGATTAAGAATTTTACGATTTTATGTTTTACAACATTGCACATGATTTTACAAACCTGGATTTTCTGGAAAAGTTCGTTTCCTTCATGAGCACTTTTTCCATTTATTTTGCTTATTTTTTTCATAACTTCTGTTGCTTCTGCATATTTTTCTTGTGATATCAACCAGCTCGGAGATTCCGGTATTACTCTAAGCAGAAGAGATTTTTAAATTTACGTATAATTATGATGACAGAATAATATTTCCAAAGCCTTTGAGAAGAGGAAGAAATGATAAAATTTTCCATAATCTTTCTTACATTAATCTGTGCTATATACATATATATAGTATGCATAAAAACATGCATTATATTATCTTCAAATGTTACAATACTAGGCCAGATCAACAAACATATAGTATACAGTACAGTATAAATACAGTAAAAAAATGTAATAAAACACATATATGTATATACATATATGTGTTTTATTACATTTTTTATAATATATATAAATAATGAAAATTAAATTCATGGTTTTTAGTTGGAGTGCACGACAATGTTTAAAATTTAATAAACCATGCTATACCCCCATTTTTTAAATACACGTATAAAAATATATCATTGTAAATGCTACAAATATTACTGTAAATTTTTGTAAATATTTAAATGTATTTGATTGCAATGTTGTTTGTGTATTGTTGCAGTATTGGTTATTGTTTTATGCATTTAATTGTTTAATTTTTTGTAGTTAGGTTAATAATAGTAGGATGCATTTTTTTCAACTAAATTTGTGGCGACATATTTTATATATAAGTGCTTATTTCATGTACCAGTGTGTTCATAAAGAAGTATATTTTCATAAGAACTACTTACTTCCAGAGCAGGAGAAGTGATGCCGCTGTAACGGATACGACTATGCTTAGGTAGATCCAGTTCCGCGTTACCCACGCTATTAGCGACAGTAAGCAAAGACCTCCAGTCCAGGATGTTGTTGCAATTCCGTTTATTCGAGCCCTCATACTAGGATCCACTAGCTCTAGGGCTAGAAAAGTAAACAAACAAATAAAACTCATCACCTGATCTTTTAGCCTGTTTTCGTACAATGACTAAATATAATAAATAATGTTACGAGTTTTGTCCATAGATAGGCAGAAGATTTTAGTGCAATTATATCTAAAATTGTTGTAGTTTTTTGGTTTAAAGTAAAATAAAAAAATCTGATGTATACACCACATGACCTCCTTGTACGGAATATTAAATTATACGCATTTTTTCTTGCATTTCATTTAAACTGTTTGGGATGAATTAAATCACTTCGCCGACAGCGCATAACCAATAGAATAATGCATTCTTTAAAAATTCACTCTATTTGTTTACCATAGCGACACTCTGGCGCTAGGTTCACTTAACAGTATTATATTTCGTTCATATTATAACTCAGAATGCACAAAATTGGATATCATTTAAAGAATTATCTAATCGTTGCCACTGTTCTATTCAAATACTGTAATAAAGCTAGAACGATGCATAAAAGAAATTAAGCAAACAAACAAAAAAAACAGTTTTCACAGACGATTGAGTACTTCTCATTCAACTATTCAGTTCTCACTTCGCGACAAGGCAAAATACATAAAAAGTCAAAAATATCTGTATTAAAAATTACGAAGTAATCTTAAACACTTATTTCCTCGAAAAATTTCAGAAGGATAAGCATGATTTAATTCGCAATAATAATGAAAGCGTTATCTTTGTTGTTGCGAAGCTAAGTTTCTCTAGATTGGCAACAAATCCACTATTCTGCTATTTCAAATGTAAACAAGCAATGGTCGCCATAAAAAAAATATTAGGCTTAGCGGCACTTAAACAACTTTAAAATTGTTGATAATTCTAAAAATATTACATACAGATTTACTAAAGGCATAAAAACCTTAACCGGAAGATAAGAACAACATAATTAAATCGTTTTAAAGCAAAAAATGTACAATTTACAAACATAAAAGAGTAAAGAAACTGAGATCACCGAGCCGGGTAACAGAGTGGACATATATAAATATATTTATATACGTTTGGTGCGGCCGATTGCAACCAAAATACGAGGTGCACATCTACATATTATAGTAGTCCTATATACAAAATTTCAACATTCTGAGGCTACTGGTTTTTGAGTTATGCGAGATACGTACGTACGTACGTACAGATGCCACGAAAAATTTGCTTCAGAATTCATTTTAAAGCAGTTTTATAATTTTTTTGAAGGAAAAGAGTAATTTATTCTGTCCTTATGTACAGATATCACGCAAAAACATCGTTAAATTGCATTCGGTAGCGGTCAAAATGGATATTTTAGTTGAAACATGCTGCCTGAAACTTTTCGCGATTGCAATACTTCATTTTTACTTTACAAGGAAGTAAAAATATAGAGAGACAAGCTTTGCCGGAAGAAAAAAAGAATACAGCGATTGTTCATTTAACATTGAATAAATGAGTATCTCGGTAATTTGGCGAGATATCGCCAAAGCTGGCAATATCTCGCCAAATTATTTTGACATTTGAATTTATTATCTACTATTAATAATTATTTATTATAATTATTTGATTTTATATATTATTGATATTTTTTTTTTTATTATTCTTATTTTATTTTATTTATATATATTGATATATAAATATTATTTAATATTTTGATATTTATTATAATTATTTGATATTTGAATTTATTATCTCGCCAATTTGGTGACTAATTTTTGCCCTCTAATTAGATCAGATTTCCAAAAGTCGTTAAGCTTGGCGACCTTTTGGTCGAGTTCCTGTTTCACCGTAATTGGCACTGTAATTCAATAAATGTAATGGATCACTATATAATCTGTAAGCGTATCTGATGCTCCTATACCTTCCAGTAATTTCGAGAAGTACTAGAAATATCTCGGCTACCGGATAAAAACTAAATTAGACCGGAAAGAATATCAGTTCTGTGTTGCTGTTGTTGTGGTTGTCAGTTCAGCGTGAGTTCATAATGCATATATATCTCCGGGTTAGCTTCGCTCTTTAGATACGCTTTGCATTGCGTTCAGTTTGACGTTCTTAGTAATGAGACATAACCCCTCGGTCAACTTCGGGGGGGGGATTTTTGGTACTCTTAGTCTGGGTTATCATTCACACCGTCAATGGTGAGGGCTACGTATTCACCGAAGAAGCGTAGTACACAGTTATACATTGACCATACCACTTGGAAAAATAAGTGCGAAAATCAGCGTTAAAGTCGTAAAGACGTACGAAGATGGGAACAGTTAAAATGGCTTAGTAATTTGAAGTGTAACTACTGATTGTACTATGTGATTCTGTGAGCACTTGTACGAGTATTTCTGTGGAAAACTCGAGAATGTTGAAGTGTTTTCTTTTGATAAAATAAATGTTATCAACCTATCATCGGGCCTGTGCGCATTCAATCTATTAACGTGAATGTACGTAACAATAATTAGAATATGCTGCCAAGCAATGATTTGTCATTAAACCGCGAACTGAATCATATAATGGTATTGTTACAAAAGTTAATGATCTGAACTTTGTATCCTTAATGCTTAAGAAAATGCATAGTTTTAGGTGCACTTAGGGAATGAGGTCGTCATTTATGAATGCACTGAAGCCATGTAATTAGGGGTCATGTTGAATTTATCAATTTTTATGGCTTTTAACAGAGAAGAAAAAATTTTATGATTTTCTTATTTACTTATTTTTTTATCATTACATACATACGGAATTTTCTTACGTTTTATTTCGACAATAGAGTACTTTATGTAGTGTATTTTATGCACTTCTAAAGGTTTTTCAAAACAAAATGATTTACATTTAAGATTCATGTATACTGCGGTAAAGGCAGATTTCGAGTAAGATTATAGTTACTCATCTGGGATTGGCTTTGGCTCAGATCAATAGTTTTCATTCTATGCTACGTGATGCATTTAAGGATTTCAAATGCACTTCTTAAGGATTTACGTAATCGAAAGAAATTAAGCGTAATTGAATGAAACTAAGAAAGAAAAAGCAGAATCAAACTAAGAAAACCAGAAATTACATTTTGATTTGTCAAATAAATTACCACTTCTTCTAGCAGACATTCTTGATCATTCTGCTTCTCATTATATTTTATTTTATGAATGTCTTAATTTAGGCCTACTGTCGAACATAATGCATAGTAATCATAATACAGTTACACAAATTTAAATCAGAATTGTCGTTTATAATGAGTAACTGGAATTTCAAGTAACAAATAATGAAACAATATGTATTTAATTGAGTGTAATAATCGAAAAGAAGGATATGAGTTTATTTCGTAGATCTGATTGTTGATCCAATTTTATAAAATCTGTTGCAAATAAAATAAATACAGTTTCAGTGACTGACCTTTTTGAGAAATTTGATGGTCAAGTTTGATAGTATCACTTGTATTATCATATAATTTTGCGTATTCCCCCCCCCATTTTTTATTAATTTTACTGTTCGAAAATCGAGAGGGGAAAATTAGGAGAATAACGTAACTTCCGAAGGGCGGGTTACGGTAAAAAAATAACAAATGAAAAGTGGTCATGGATAAACTACAGCTAACTATCACAATATTGTTGCGTGCGAACGGGTTTGTAATAGATTGAATGCACAAGTCCGATAAAAAGTGAATAAAATTTATCCTTATCACAAGCAATATAACAAAACGCTGGATTTTTTCTCAAAGATATTTCGTACAATTTCGTTGTATCACGCAATATAATCAATAGCAATTTCTGTTTTTTCGAGATTTCTGGAAAGCAAAAGAGTAGAATTACGGTTACAGCTAACACAGTAGTCAATTACATTTATTCAATTTAAATATAAATTATGAGATATGTATTTATTAAATATTAAATGTGGGTACTCCTGTATTTTTATGTTTCCGGCGTAGCTTTCTTTTAAAATATGTCTCGTGCTGCATTGCACGGGGATATAAAACAAGTTTAGTTATAGTTCTACTAAAAGTAGCTAACTAAATACAAAATTCGTAACAATATTATTTTTTTTTTAAGAAACCTAATTTCTAATGAGAATGCATAGTAATATTAACATTATAATATCTAATAAGATATCTTCCTTTTTACATCTCGAACATTCTTATATTGTCTTGGGCTACAACTTAGGCCTCAAATCATCTATAAATTATTAGAGAAGTTGAATTTCCAGCTGATTCATCGAATTGGTAGACTGAATGTCAGTTCGTGTTTCCTTCGCTCTGATTGGCGGTTCTTGTATTACGTTGACGTAAGTTTCAACAGTTGGAAGGCAAAGGTTCAGTGTGACCTTCGCAAGTAGTTTGCTAGAGATTGTCTTTGCTAGTAAGACGAAAATTATCATTACAGAGAATACATTTTCAATATTAGGTGAGCTGGCTCTCTGAGCGTATTAAAGAAGGGTAGAATTATGCAAATATGTTTAAAACTTGGCGATAAAAAGTTGGGGAGGGGGGAGAGATAAGCAATGGTCAAAATACCCGATGAAATACGCTAATTGTACTTGAGAATAAATTGAAGTAAATAAATTGAGCTATTATCAATAAATAATTGTTTATAAAATATAATTTCATTACACGGACATTGTATAATCCTTTAGATACCTCTTTACCTTACGTTCTCTTATTATATCTCTTATCCATTCTTCCCTCCAGTCCTCTAACAGTAGTTCTAAGCATCATTAACTCGTATGATATAGAGTAGGTCTAAGGATTCCGCAGTAGAAATTGATTCATAAAAGGGCTCCACGATTCAAACTGATTGGGAATTATTGTATTAAATGTTTCAGCAAATCCTACTTATTACACCTTTTTCATCTGCATTCTCAGTGACGTTTGTTTTTCACATGGATATTTTTACTCCTCAACTTCTTGTGATAAACTAAAACTGAAAGTATATTCCGTGCAAATACAAGCAACTACACATAATTTCATTACAAAATCATCTTTAAAACATACACTATTTTAAGACACAATAACACGCCGAATAAATACTAAATCAGAAGTCAAACAACAAAAATCAGCGTTATATTTTCAAAATTTTCACAGGGACTAGTTTTGATGATGTTTCGGTAAAACCATCGAAACTAGTTTTCGAAACTAGTTCGGTTTAACCGAAACACCATCAAAACTAGTCCTGTAAAAATTTTGAAAATATAACGCTGATTTTTGTTGTTTGACTTCTGAATTAATACACTATTTTATCAAAACTTAAAAAATCAGCATTAGTTCCCTGCCCTTGTTCTTTCTGCAGTAGCATCTACGAGGCAAATTTCTCACCAAAACAAGCTTGAATATAACAAAGAGTACAATAAAGTAAATCTAAACCTGGGAAAAATGGCTGAAAGCTCAATGTTGTGATTCTGATTCATATGTTTTACAGACGAATTCAAATTGCTTGTCCCTTCCATCGGAGGAGCATGCGAAGCATCTCATTTGTCATTCTTCTTCTATTATTTTCTTGCGGCAATGTTAGTGTAATAAACCATACTAGTGTAACAGTTTTTCCAATAAACGGGTTAAACGTTTGAGAGAGGGAAGTAAACGCTTCGCATGATCATTTATATAGTTTAATTAACCTACGACAATTCTTTGTTACTTTGATAAGAAAATTATTTCAACAACAGGGATATCTTAGTTCATTAACCGAAGTGTTTTATTACAGCATCTAGCTCATATGGTTTAGGAAGCGGGATATTCCATTAAGCTCGTTCAACAGTGTAGGCTTTACTTCCTCTATTCCTTTCTGCATGCCTTCGTGGTACACTCGGCGCGTATTCGAGAGGTCCAGGTTCGTGTCCCGGGGAGGTCACTTCTAATTTTTCATGAGGCTAATATCAAAAAAGAATCTAATATCTCTACAGTGGCACCCGAACTCAAAAGATGGTGGGTGACGATTCTTCACCACCAAGATTTGGCGACTGGGTCCCGTAATCCCCAGTCGCCCTTTAAAAGGGGGAGTATATAAGGTATTTTCTCCCTCCTTTCTGCATGCCTTCGTGGTGTAACGGTAGCACACTCGGCGTGTATTCGAGAGGTCCTGGTTCGAGTCCCGGCGAGGGAATGGCTCGTTTTTCATGTCTCCTGATTCAAAATAACCTAATGACTCTGCCACTAAGATTCTCAGTAATCGCTTAATTGGTCATTGCTTCAACTCGTGAGGACTTAAATTTCTTTCAATCAAACAGTTTCTTAAATTCTTTCTTAAAAAATCTGATGTGTTACACCACATGACTTCCTTGTACGGAATATTAAATTATACGTATTTTTTCTTGCATTTCATTTAAACTTATTCGATTGAATTAAACCTACTTCGCCGAACACCGCATAAACCACAATAGAATAAATGCATTCTTTAAAATTCACTTTGTTTACCATAGCGACACTCTGGTGCTAGGTTCACTTAACAGTATTATATTTCGTTCATATTATAACTCAGAATGCACAAAATTTATATCATTTAAAGAATTATCTAATCGTTGCCACATGTTCTATTCAAATACTATACTAAAGCTAGAACGATGTATAAAAGAAATTAAGCAAACAAAAACAAAAAAGAAACAGTTTTCACAGACGATTGAGTATTTCTCACTCAATTAATTCAGTTTTCACTTTGCGACAAGGCAAAAAAAATACATAAAAACTCAAAATATCTGTATTAAAAATTACGAAGTAAATCTTAAACGCTTATTTCCTCGAAAAAATTCCAGAAAGGATTAAGTATGGTTTAAATAATAAATGAAGGCGTTATCTTTGTTTTTGCGAAGCTAAGTTTCTCTAGATTGGCAACGAATCCGCTATCTTGCTGTTTCAAATGTAAACAAGGGCAATGGCCGCCATCAAAAACATTATTAGGCTTGGCGGCACTTAAACAATTTTAAAATTGTTGATAATTCTAAAAATATCGCATATAGATTTACTAAAGGCATAAAAACCTTAACCGGAAGATAAGAACAACATAATTCAATCATTTTTAAAGCAAAAAATGTACAATTTACAAACATATAAGAGTCAAGAAACTGAGATCACTGAGTCAAGTAAAAGAGTGGATATATATATATAAATATATTTATATACGTTTGGTGCTGCTTATTGCAACCAAAATACGAGGTGCACATCTACGTATTATAGCAGTCCTATATACAAAATTTCAACGTTCTCAGGCTACTCGTTTTTGAGTTATGCGAGATACGTACGTACGTACGTAGGTATGTACATACGTTCGTACAGACGCCACGAAAAATTCTCTTCAGAATTAATTTTAAAGCAGTTTTATAATATTTTTTCAGGAAAAGAGTGTTTTATTCTGTTCTTAAGTACAGATATCACGGAACTACATCGTTAAATTGCATTGGAAAGAGGTCAAAATGGTATATTTTCGTTGAAATATGCTGCCTGAAACTTATAGCGATTACAATACTTCATTTTTACTTCGTACAAGGAAGTAAAAAATGCTTACCAGTTTACATCAAAGAAAATGCTAGATTTGTAAAAACTTAATCATTGAACAAGGTGAGCAATGAAATAGGCTAAGAAAAATATCTAACCATAGATTTAATATTAGGCAAGGAAGTAAGCTTAGATGTACCTAATCCAAAATTTTAAATAGCATGTTTCTCTCCCATTTATACTCAAAAATAAACTTTGAAAAACATTAAAAGACTGTGGGGGAAGGGTAGAAGCCAGCACTAAGACATCCTCCTGTACCACTCACTGTTGCAATTTATGTACGCATGTTTCTCACCTCGTACATGCAATTCCAAACAGTGGGCTGCATTTTAAATGAGATATTATGTATAGTTATGTACTTTGCACTATTCCTATCAGGTGCTTAGTTTACTGTTAATACATAAACATTTTTAAAGAAAAACGTTTCCGGAAGATTTTTAATGCAAAATATTTTTTTCGTTGACAGAAACTAGTTAATGCAACTTACTTATGATGTAAATACCCGCATATATGGTCGTCATAGCAGTACCGTTGATAACTCGTAGTACTAAGAACAATGAAAAGTACGGGCTGAGTACAGATCCGACTTCCGTGACACTGACCAAGAAGGCCACAAAGAAAAAAGTAGGTTTTCTGCCACATCTGGAAAGGATAAATAATAATCTTTGACAAAACTTCATTACTAAAGGAAGGATGATCCAGAAAGCCAGCTGTAAATATTTAAAAAATATAAAGAAGTCGGAGAATGGATATCATAGGTTGTGCTTTGAGTAGAAATGATGAGTTTTGCATGAAAGGAATTAAAAGGATGAATAGGTTTTGAACAGCAGGTAAAGCTTTCACTTATAAAGGGCAATACACGTCATCCGACAGCCAAGAATAACACTGAAAATGGAAATGCTTCTTTTGTGGCATACATCCTAAACAATTATTTTTATGATATTTACGGATATCTGAATTCAAAATTGGTTACTAACTATGACTGCTATCTTGACTATCGAAAAGGTACAGAATTTCCTGTGTGGATATAAATTTGAAATGCTACATATTCCCTTCTACAGTAATACATCTTTGGGAATAATTTTCGCATGGACTGCATAGCGTTATAGACCAAGTTAATTCTTTATATATATATAAGCGGAAGTGTATGTCGCCGATAGTTTATTGTTGCCACTCGGAAAAATGAGTGTGCAAATTAATGTTTCCGCAGTTTTTAATTAATATCTCGCCCTATTAAAGTCGTACGAAGATGAGAACGGTATCGATGGATTCGGAGAATTTTATGGAATCCGAGGATATGCGTCTTGAATTTCAACTCAGCACCGTTCCTTAGATATTCGAGAAAAAAGAATTTGGCACCTAGCCAAATCCTTCTAATAGGGAAAACCCAAGAAAGAAAGTAGAAAATGTAGCGAAAACGTAGGGGAAAATTAGTTTTCAATTAATATCTCGGCTAATTAAAGTACCACGAAGACGCGATTCATCAAAATGGCGTGCGACGGACCTGCGGAATCCAACGGTGTGCTTCGTTAAGCCCGGGAGCCAGCCGTTTCAGGGTAGCTGATGTTACTTCACCCCATATATGCGGCTTAAGTGTCTGTTTGTCGACTATAGTTTATTGGTTGCTTGCGTAACTGTACTAGCCAATGGGGTGAAGTTGCCACGGCACAGGGTTGCCGTTTCAATTGTGACGTAGAAAATTTCCTGTAAAACTTGCCTTTGCTATGACCATCCATAAGTCTCAGGGCTAAACGCTTAAGCGTGTTGGAATTTTTTAACCTGAGCGTGCATTTGGACACGGTCAACTTTATGTTGCCTGTTCAAGAGTTCGTGAAAGAACGGAAGTAAAATTACAAATAATGGATGGTCCTCTGCAAGGCGAGCTTAAAAATGATGGAAAGATCTACATTAGAAATGTTGTGTACAAGAAGTCTTTGAGATGTGAATTAAATTTATTTTTAAATCACCTTTATTATTGAGCTAGCGGTGGCTCTTAAAAATGTACCGCCAGTGTTTCCTTCATTGCACTCTACTTTAAGCAATTAAGCAAGTAGAAGGGGAAAACCCGTGGGGCAGTAAACAAAGGAGCGTCCTCGCCGCCTGCCCTGGGTAATTCAGTTTGAATTGGCAGACACCTTTGCACAAATCATTTTAATTACAATTTATAATATCTAGAACAGCGGTCATTTCGTATGACCGCCGGGCTTCCTAGTTTTAATATATCGAAACAGGAACATTGAGACATAAATATGTGGTTAAGAGATAAAATGTCTTTTGTAAGGAGTAAAAAAGAAAGATATCTTTTTAAGTGTGTTTGCTGATGATTAAAAATGAATCAAAATATAGTATACAGATTTGCCTAGGCAAATGAACAGAAAATTACTTAAAGTTTTGCAGAGATTCGGTAATTTCTGCACAACTTTAAGGAAGGTGCTGAAGTGATTGACAAATAAAATGCATCCGCACTGTCAACACCGTCTCGAAGAGTAAGGCATGAGGCAACACCGTCTCGAAGAAACTATTTAGAAGATGTTGCCTGTACCCTCCTTTCTTCAGTACTCCTGCTTATTAATTTAGAAGTTAAACAACAAAAATCCGAATATTTTCAAATTTTCACAGGACATGAATAAAATATTGAAAATATAACTTTGGTTTTTGTTGTTTAACTTCTAAATTAATACTTGTTTGGCGTGTTATTGTATCTTAATCACCCCTGCTTAGTTTAAATTTTGCTTATTTCCTTCCCCCTGTTTATTCTTTTGTTCCTTATTTTAGCGGCCGCTACTTGCGATTGAATCTTTTTGCCTAGTTTCGAAATGCTTATTATGGCCAAACTGTGTTAATTAACATAAATACCTTTCAAGCCTTAAGCATTTACCTTACAGAGTTTACTTGCTATGATAAAACGAGGAATTTTTATTTGTTATCCAAATGCGTTTCTTCTTTCAGGAGGTGTAAGGAATATTGGCAGAAGAAAGTTTGCAACGCTTCAATCATTGGGATCGTAAGCTCTGAATTTTTGTACTAAGAACAAAAATTTAAATTAATATATATTATCATCTTTATTCTAATAAAGGTAATGTATCGATACCATTTTTAAAGAAAAGCTTTTAATTCGCGTTGATTTTGATTTCTTTCATTACCTTAAAAATTTAAGAAATTTTAATCTAGGAACAAAAATGATAAAAATCGGGGAAGAAAAAAGATGTAAAAGGTGGTGGTGTATTTAATTATGGCAAAGCACACTAAGGCTATCTGCCTAAGGGGGAGGGATGCCTTCATGGAGGACTTTCTAAGGGAAACCGGCTCGTATACACGTTACACATGGGGAAAACCACGAAAACACCCATGCAGCCAGCCCGTTCGCGGGATTCGAACCTCAGACCGAACTACCAGTGTTCAGCGACTTTACCGCTCGGCCGCTGGTGGGCTCGTAAAAGATTCTATAATGTAAAATTTAAGGTCATAAAAACTCAGTAGTTATGTAAAGTTAGCTAATGAAATAATGTTGATCTCCTGAAGTAAAATTAATTTTTTAAATAGTATTAAAATCCGTCAAGTTCAAGTAATATCTCTGTCTGTGGAAGGCTATGTGTCATTTTGGGAAAAAAACGAAATCAGAGTTAAGCAATGAAAAATTCTTTATCTTAGATATATGATTTTTTGAGAGACAGGCTGTTCAGATTGAAGCTCAATACTACCATGTCAAATAGCTTTCAAGTGAGTTAGGGAATACCTCAGGGATCAGTGTTGAGCCCTATTCTTTTCTCTCTGTATTTGGCTAGTGTTGAAAAGGTAATAAAGGAAGATGTGAAATCGATATATAAGCTGATGATATTGCCCTCTGGAGCTCGGGCTCAGATGTGGATAAAATTGAGTCTAATATTAATTTTACCCTACCAGACATGTGGAGCTTTTTCAAAGATCATAAGCTGACTTTTAATCCAACTAAATCTATTGCCAGTTTTTTTACTACTAATAAGAGGTTGTATAATTATCAACCAAACATTTTTATGGCTGATATGCCACTCAAAATTCGAGAAGCATCCTAATTATCTTGGTTTTACTCTAGACTCTGAATTTACTAGCAACAAGCATGTGGAGGCATTAGTGATGAAGAATAGGAAACGACTTAATATATTGAAACACACCCGATTTGTCCGAAATGTAACAATGAGCAGACTTCTCCGGAACATATTCTTAGGTGTCTGGGTTTGTCCTGTGACGACCTGGTTAAGTTTCCTATGACTTTTTGGAGGTAAATAGACTCGTGGATCTCGTCTAGCAGAAGCTAGACTTAAGAATTAGCAACAACAAAATGCTTTATTGATTTAATTTGACATACCTGTCAGATAGAAATCCATAGACAGGTGTTCCCACTAAGTCTCCGATAAAAACCAAACTTAGCATAAGGCTGTTGTATTGGCTGTCTTTGCACACCATGTTCCACTAAAAAGAAAAATAAGAAATTTGTTATAAGACCTGGACTGACTCCCAGATGGAAACAACCTAGGCAACATAAGGAAGCCGATCTTCAGAAGGTATCAGCTACTTTGCTGTCAAGAGTGAAAACTAAATAAAGGTATAAAGAGGCTGTTCGTACATATTTTAGACAATTTTCTTTGTATTTTACAGAAATATTTTACATAAAATTTAAATGTTCTGTTTGATAACACTTATTCACTGTCTTTCTACATCGTAATTTCTGAGACAATAAAGTCTTTTGTAGTATCAGAAGAGGTATTTTATCTCATTCCTCTAGAACATCTTTCCAAAGTCCAAGAAGCGCTATAGGACGACGTTTGGGCAATCCCCTTTTCAAAAGTTCAAAGTGCGAAAATCCATAGGTGATTCATCAGGAAATTTAGTAGGGATATGAGAGAAGGGTAATGGCCTTGATGCCCTTTCTTGTTCCATTTCTTTTCGAGGAAATTAACAGTGGATTTTTAAGTATGGCTGCTTGCTTTGTCTTGATGCATTTTTACTGATTGGTGACACTGTGGCTAAAGAGAAGATATTTCATATTTGAGAAATGGGTATCATATATGTTCATGATAATATGTGGAGCTGATCTTAGCATTTTCTCCACTCACTTTAATTTTTAATTTGCCGTTAAATGAAAAACCAGAAAACAACCGTGAGTCCCTTTGAAAAACTTCCTTTGCATTCTTTGAACCACGTTTTAAGACTTTTTTTCTCTTCTTTGATGATAATATATGGATCTCTTTTTATTGCAGTCATTTAAATACACCCAAGACTCTTCTCCTATGACAACATTTTTACATTTGGGTCCGAATAAGTGTTTTTTACAAAGAACTCTGCAGCGCTTTCTGCGTTCGACGATATGTGGTGGAGAAAAACGATGCAGATAATGTTTTTTCGCATTTTTAAGATTCAAATTAGCATTAAGCACTTTGCGTATAGTTGACACTAAGCACTTTAATGATTCTGTAACTGTCCTCTGAATTGGCGGATTTTCTTTTAACATTAAAGATCTCACCTCTGCAATATTCGAAATATTTATTTTTTTCTTGATTATATATTTGGGACAAAGATTATATATTTGGGAAAAAAAATCTGACTTTTTTCTCCTTTCTTCTTGATTGTATTGCCTTTCGTAGCTTTAGATAGATATCGAAAAACCATGGCCTTTCTCAGAGTTTTTGTATAACTAGATACGAATAATTTTCTTTGGAAAGAGCACAAACATAGCTTTCCATTCACTGCTTCTTAAAAGCGGCATTTTGCATTTTGCATGCAAATAAAACTGTCAAGTAGCAGACGATAATTTATGAACTTTTTTAAAGAATAGTTAAAAAAAATTCCAAGAAGACGACGTTTTTTATAGCAAAGCAAAATTGCCTAAAAATGTGCGAACAGCCTTTGTAGCTTTATAAGTAAATACGAGGAACAAATATTAAAAAATTCATTAAAAAAATTCTGTGATTGAAGGTTTGATTTAAAATTTTTATTTGATTACAAAGGCAGTTGAAAGACAAATTTTATTAGCTGATTCCGTAAAAATTTCTTTAAAAATGTTTCGTTACAAATGTCACAGTATTAATGACCTACAAAAGAAAAAAAAGCATTTTAGACAAAATATGATAGTAAACTTTACAGTACTTAGAATAATAGTTATAAATCATTGCACAGTTACCCAGATTATCTCAGAAATAAGGCAAACCTGGACTTTCATTGTAAACGCAACAAAATGGATCAATGGATCCCTTCATATGTAGGTATCAATGGTAACGAAAAGGCAGACTCACTAGCCAAGAGAGGAACACTTGCGCCACAAGACTGCAAACCACTTCCTCTACAGTCACTTAAAAAGCATATTTTTGAGAAATTAATGGATGCTGTTTAATATGACCAGACAGCAAAATCAACAGGCAAATCCTGGGATAACATTCAAGACACATGAAAAAGGTTTTGTCAAAAACTACGTAAAGAGACTGTGGCAAACTTCAGACTGCAAACAGGTCACGATTGCATGGCACATCATCTTAATAAAATTGGCATCCTTCCATCTGGTATATGCCATATTTGAAATTCGGGCATCAAGAATGCAGAGCATCTTTTTATATGCCCAAAACTAGATAAAGAGTCTCAGAAACGTGGGGAGATAAAACTATATTGGAATGACAGAGCTTTCATGAACTCTTTGTAAAGACTACATCTCTTATGTTCCTTTCCTTGTTGTTTAAAGTTTTAAGTTTTTACTTTTGTTCTCATGTTCATTTATTCTTACTTTATAAATGTTTTTTCTTTTTTATTATTTATCAATGAGCTGTTTTATATCTTTGGATTGATTTTTCTAATAAAGCCGTATGTAACAACAACTTTACAATAGATATCAAACAGAATTCGTTATGCGTTAACTGTACAAGTAATAACTCTGGTTCTTCATACTTTGCAAGTTTTTTCAAGTATGTTTCTGCTATTTAATTCAGAGGAATAAAATGTGGCTTACTTTGGTGGTGGCTGTGGCATCATAATTAGTCTTATCGAACTGCCATCCGTGATCACATTCTGTTGTAGGCCAATCGGGATTCACAGACCAGTTACCAGACTGTAAAATCTGCGAATAATTGACATCATATCTTGAACAAGACTTATCGCTAGAAGGACGGATTAACATCTTTTGAAATTGCAATGACAAATTTGAATGTTCCATCTCTGGTACATAGCACCAATGATCTGGAGTGTTTGACAAGAATATGGCGTCCATTGAAAACCACGGACTCACGATGAGAGCTGGAACAAGAATCCCCATTAGCAGTATTTTCTGAAATGAACCGAAACTACCAACTTCTTTCAGAATATTTTCGAAATCCATTGTCAATTCCTGTTGAAAACAAGATTTACTTTACAGTAGATCTGGAAAGGAAAAAAAAAAGACAATTTTTTGTTATCTTGATAACTGTAAAATACCACGTTAATTTGATAGTTTTTAAATCATAAAGCATGCGAAGATATTTTTAGTAATGCCCATTCTCCTTTTCTTTTGTTGTTAATGCAAAATAACTCATAAATTTAGACATATTTTCAAATTTATAAAATCATTGAATGTTGTATCAAAGCGCGATTTTCACCTAAAAACATCTCCCAAAGCTGGAAAAAAAATTATTTTGACTTGTAATCATTTTAATTCAAATTAGCGAGATTATAATACTTTAAAAGATGAAGTATACCTGAGAGCTCATAGACCACTACGTTATTGACAATACTGAAAAATGTTCTCTCGACGCAAGCAAATAAATGCTATTTAATCACAATTTTTTCAGTCTAAATTTTTTTATTTGCAGCACTATCTATTAATGAAAATTTGAAGTAAAACGGGCTTTGTGATAGGAAAAAGTAGGCTTTGTGATTATTGTGAAGATCGTACTACGAAATTACTAATTTTACATAATTTTTTTGGTACTATTCCGTTTTGAGGACTGTAAAAAAATTGCAGCGAAAATGTATGCGCAAAAGCGCCAAATCTAGCAAACGCGCCCATTCAACAGCGCGCCAAATCTAGCGTACGTGCTGATTTCAGCGTAAGTTTATGTGAGTTTATATAGTTCTATATTTCTTAAGACGCCATTGAAATACTAGTCTGATTTTTAAATCTTTCTTTGATATCATATGGATTTATCAATTGGGGAATTGCCCGTGACGTAAAGTCTGCAATAGAATTTTGAGGTAACGCGTGAAGCAGTGCAGAATCACCCACTGCTTGACGCGTTTTTAAGAATTTCACATACTCGGTATCCATGTACACATCGACCTATTTTCACTTAAAAAAATAAAAAAATCTCAGAATTGCGCATAAATGGCACTGCGCACACCCTTGACTTTATCTATGTACACATTAACCTATTTTCACTTAAAAGAAAATTGACAAAAATCCAATTGTCTTTACCCTTGTAAAAAGCGGCAAACAAATAAGTGGGCGATTCTTCACTTTACGAAGAATTTTTTTTATAGAAAAGGCATCATTCATTATAGAAAATTATGTTTTAACAACCAACGAGATGAAATTATGCTTTAGCGATAACTCGGTAGCGAAATAGCGATGCAGGCATCCATTCAGTTATGTTTAGCAATTTTTATATAAATTATAATCATAAAAAAGTATTATACGAAATTAACATTTCATCTAAATTAAAACATCAATCTTAGATTGTTATTTACTATTATACTTTATTTCTTACGTTAGGGTTGCCGCAATTGTTTTTGGCAGCACTGGCATCGACAATAGTTTGGCGATTTTTTACGGCCCTAAAAATCGAATAGTACCATTTTGGTAAATGTGCAGTTATTTAAAAATGGATAGGACACTTTGCATTTGCGTTATTAGGGTTGTTAAAAATATTTTTCTTACTATCGCAGTTTTATTCTATGACGAACACGTAAGGAATCATTGGTAAGAAATGAATGAATTTGTAAATATCCAAGTATTTATGGTTTAGAAACAATGAGCTAATTTTGTTTTTCACAGCACCGATGTGGATCAATGATTTAGCCATTTAGTACACCTTGGACAAAAAGAGTGTCAGTTCTATATTTCCCGCTTTACTTGGACCGATTGACAAAATTTAGATTACGTTTTCCATGTTTCAAAAGAACGACTTAGGATATATCGTAGATTTATATAAAGCATTGATCTTACATAGATATTTTGACACAAAAACCGGACTTTTTCTGAAATGCTATACCTATTGTTTTCCGACATTTAGATTCTACGACTCACATTATACCAAAGCACCAAGTTTCGTAAAATCTAAAAGAGTAGTTTTTAAAAATTAGCTCTCAACATTTTAGCTCTTCAGTGTTAATTGAATTTCGTATATTTTTATTAATATCTCCTATTTTATTAAACTTATTGGATGTGTTCTTTCACAGTTCAAAATTTAGGTTCAGTACAAATAAAATTTGCAGTTATTATCTGTTTTTTCTAATTTGTATTTTTTAGTAATTTTTAAAAATTTTTCTAAAAAACTTTGAAATTATAACCTATAAAATTTTTGCAGTGATTTTTAAGCAGACGTACTGCTAGGCACACCTACAAAAAATTTGAATTTTTTTTTTTAATTTCCAAAGACATACGTGAATTTATATACTGGCGGGTTTTAAAATTTGGCATATTTGCTATAAGCGACAACAACGCCAACTATGATTTGCGCACTTTGTTAAAATTATTTGAAAGAACGAACGATGCACTTTTTATTCCGCTCATACACAGTGAAAGGGTTATCATAAATTAAGAATTTAGCCAAGTGAATTATTCTTGGCGCAAACTGAAAAAGTGCGCCAAGGCAAATTAAAAAATTCCTCGGTAAGTTTCTCGCCAGATTTTATAAAATTTAAATTTAAGGCGTAGAATCAAACTATGGAAAAAAGAATCATATGTTATTTTAGAAAAAGTTTAACTTTATGTCAGAATAACTATGTTAGAACAATGCTATATTTAAATCTAATATATACGCTTTTGAGACACGTTAAACGTAAGTAAAATTTTATTCAGCTTCAGAATTCGATCAATTAGGAAAAAGATTGCAAAAAGATTATTTTCCGATCTTTCCGGTGGGGAAAAAATCACATTTTGATATGATTAATTTGATTTTTAACCAATGTGAAGAAAATAATCACCATTAATAATAAAAAAAAACATTTATAACAATTTTAAAATATACTGTGCAATAGTATAGTGTCATTGCACGTATGTATGCAAAATCTTTTTAAAAAGTTATCGATAGAACGGGAGGAAAATTTCGAAGTTTTATCCAAACAATGATAGGAAGCTAAATAAAACCGTGTAACAAACAATGGTAAAAATATAGTTTAGCGTACCCCTTGGCGATTTTTGGCGATACATGGATACCGATTTTGTGCAATTCTTTGACTCGTTATTTTGGCTTCCGCCAAAAATCGCCGCTACACAAAGCCAAAATAACAAGACAAACAATTGCATAAACTCGGTATCCATGTACACATCGACTATTTTCACTTAAAAAAATATCCCCGAATTGCACAAAAATGGCATTGTGCACTCCTTTGACTTTATCCATGTACACGTCGACCTATTTTCGCTTAAAAAAATCCCCGAATTGCACAAAAATGGCATTGCGCACTCTTTTAACTTTATCCATGTACACGTCGACCTATTTTCACTTGAAAAAAAAAATCCCAGAATTGCACAAACTTGCATTGCGCATTTCCTTTACTTTGTCCATGTACACATCGATGTACTTTCACTTAAAAAGTCAAAGGAGCACCAAATTCTATAATATAGGCAAACAAAAAATACATAATCTCAATAAAATACATTTTAAACCAAACAATAAAATAACATAAAAAGGAAAAACATGTTATACATTTAAGCACTACCAAAAGCAAATATTCACTTACCATGATTTTCGAGTTCGCTTCGTACACCCAGAGCTACGTAAAAATCAAAATATCAATCATACTCAAATGACCTTTTTCCAAACCAGGTACTCTCTCTAATTGAACGCTTCACATAGTGATCATCTGAACCTTTCTTCCTACAAACCCATTCAAATCCATCTAAACGGTTTTTACGTTCGACTAGACGCGTATCCTTTCTACATACAGGGCACTTATAACGGCTACTAAGTAAACCTTCATTTACACACCAGTCAATTAAAGCTCTTTTCCCCTGTCGCTCCAAATCGTACAGAAACTTCAAATTAATCTTACTACATTCGGCCATTCTACCGTCTGAAAAATCAAACCAACACACACCACAAAAACGCTTACAAAACATCCCATGATTCAAATTCCCAGAACATGCACCCGATTACGTCACAATAGGGTTTCCATAACATTCAACTACTCAGGCTGCCATAAATGAAACAACAACTTGGCGATAAATCAAACAACAACTTGGCAATAAATCAAACAACAACTTCGCCGTAATACAAGGGGTACCTTAAAGTCTACTCTACCCCAAACAATAAAATGTTTTATGAAATTTAATTGTCGAAAGCAAAATCTTTTAATCTAATGCTGCCTCTCAAACAAAATCTAATGATGCCTTTCAAACAAAATCTTATAACCTACAAATGTATCGAAAGCAAAATCGTTTACTCTTCAGAGCAAAAAGTAAGAAAACGCACCTTGATTTTTTTGCTTCATTTTCTATTATCGGCACGGGAGTTCTGAACAAAACTTTAAAAATTCAAAGATTTTGCACCAGGGCATAACTTTGATGTAATGCAGAAAGAAATTCGAGCTACAGGTAAATGAGCTGAAACCAATCATAATTTGACTTTTCATTATTGCTTACAAAATACGAGATATTTGCAGGAAATATATAATGTTTACATTTCAGACATACATGTAAACAATAAAGTATAACAACGCAATAAATTATATACAAATATACTTTTCCTCTAAATCAAAATAAAATGATTCTGTTATTGTTGCCATAATAGGTATTGAGGATCATCTCTGATTTCGCCTTTGACCTTAATAAAATACCCGGTATTATAGGACATCAAATTTGATTGCAAAGATAGACAGGAAAAATATGGGAATAATATATATATATATATATATATATGTGACGGAAAAATATTACTTTTATTACTTTGAAAATAACTGAAGTTCTGTTGCCATAAACGGAATCATAAATAATTCTCGGAATTTAAAGAAAAGTATTTTTACTGCCAAAGTATCAATATCTAATTCACTGTATAACTATTATCGAACTATTGTTATGTCTCATGCCACTGACTTCCTAAATAAAACGAAAATATTTTGAAGTTGCTGGGAAAACTGAAGCTATTATACTTAATGTTCAATTCTTAATCGTAAAACAGATTTTATGTGCTATGATTAATGTTCGTCAGTAACCAATGAAAATA